GGGAAAGGGCTGACCCTGACGGGGATCCCTGGCAGCACAAAGGCCAGAAGAGCCCCTTTCTAGGGAAACAGGAGGGAAGAGCCCTTGGAGGAACTGAGGAGTATTAGAAAGACAGGATGGAGAAGCAGGGTTTGTGAATAAAAGGAGGATAAACGAGGAAAGGGGAGGCTGAGAAAATTTGTAGAGGTTGGAGAGGAGGAAAATAGAGACAGAAGAGTGAGCGGAGGCAGAGAGTTGTCAGCAGAGCCCAAAAAGTAAGTGAAGTACAAATAAGGGAGCTAGGCTAAGGGTGACATGGGAAGGAGGCACAGCAGGAGAAGCAAAGGAAGAAAGGAAGGTTTAAAGTGATGTTGAAAGCTTCACCTTACCAGGTGACACTGGCATTTCTGAGCAGGCAGCCCTGGGTTTGAGTACCTTTCCCCTACTGCGTCTGCTGTGCCAGCACGAACATTGTGTGGGGGCAGCAGCTGTCTTACCAAAATGGCCCATGGCTGAGCCATCCACACCCACTCCAGAGCACTGCATGGGCTACGCAGGCTCCAAGGGCCAGAGGATGAAGCATAAAGGCTGACAAGTGCTTCCACCAGTGCAGCTCAGCAGGCAGGTCCCAGGCCACTGCTTACACTAAAAACATGGGCTAAAGGGGTCTGACAGCACCACTTTGGGCATCTTTCACTGCTACCTGGAGTACCTGTGGCACCCAGGTCAAGGCTGAGCAATAAAGCAAGAAGTGAGCCTGTATTGCTCCCTTCCAAACTGTTTGCCACAGCCTCCTCTACTTGCTTGGGGACCAGCACAAGGGGCGAAAAAACTCCCCCAGGAAACACTGTTTGCAGGTTCCCCCCGTGCAGATGCAGGAGCTTTAGAACACGCAAACCAGCAGATGCTCTGCATTTGCTGCCTGCAAGCTCCTCGCTCCTCACAGCCCGTCTGCACTCCTGCCTTGCAAAGAAACATCCTTTTTACTGCGCCATCCCCTTGCAGCCCGGAGGCAGCACGATGCCTGCACTCTGATGGGTAACAGGCTGGTAGCATCTGATGCCTTTGCCACCAAACTGGGAAGGCGAGGAGGAGTCAGACATGGGCAGCGTCCCAGGCACATCTCTCACCTCCCGTACATTCCGGGATCCTGACTCCCTGAAGGAAGGTTTGCAGCGGAAATTTATCTGTAAATTGAACACACATGAGAGGAATCAGTAAAACCATCATACCCCATAGGAAACCTACTGGAGTTTATTTTACTACAGCAGGCCCAGAGCCTCTGGATATGTTCGATGCTTGCCACAAAACCCCTGACATATCTCTGTTACTGAACAAAATGGGGCCTGGGGTCCCAATCATGTCACTAGACGCTCCTTTTGGTATTGCCTCCTCAGAAGATCCCTCTTTGCAATGACACGTTGCAGTTCCCCAATCTTCTTTGTTTCACTACCCAAGAGGAAGGGCTGCCCAGGAAAAGGCTGCTACAGCTTTACGAGCCACAGAGAGGGCTTAACAGGCTCTACTCACTTTCTCCAGCTGCTCGATGCAGGGTGTATGCACTACGATCTTGCAGGCTGCACACTTACGCCTGGAGAGAGGTTTTTGCTGGAGGATGAGAAAAGAGGAGGAAAAACATGCGTGTGAATAACAGTGTTCAGAGGCTGGCAAGCTCAGTCTCCCATTACACCTCCTTCATATATTTCAGGACGCAGAACAAGTCCTATAGGAAAGTTATATACACCTAGACTCCTTGCAAGTAGAGAGATCTAAGTGTGTGCCTAGAGCAGATGCTCTTGAGTCTGTGACAGAGCAGGGAGCTGCTCTCCCGCTGCTTAATCAGTCCTTGGCCTCTTCTGACATTGCCTGAGAGCACCATGGAAGCTGGTCTGAGAGGCACTCGCAGAGCTCCCATGGTAAGCCCTGTGGGCAAGCACAGGATGGCATCAGTGCTCCATGTCTACACCACAAGCAGGATCGAGTCTGCAAGCTGGGAGGGAGAACTGCAGCAACCCTGTAAGATCACCGCTGCCTGCAGGGTCAGGAGGCAGCAGGCCTGGGTCTCCAGCACTCATTTTTCTCCCCTACTGAAAGGTCTTTCCAGAGAAGCTGGATTCGGATTCTCCCTCTAAGGGTGTGAGACCCCAACAGCCTCTCCCTGGAATATCATCACATCACCTCCGAGTGAGCGTCAGGTTCCCATTGCAAACTGAGCACCAGCACCAGCAGAAATTGGGGACGCAGCCCTCCAAGCACGCAGAGGTAGGAGGGACACACTCCCCGCCTTGGCAGCCCCCCAGCTCCCCACGCTTGCCCCAGCAGCAGCAGCAGCAGGGTCTTCGCGGTGTCCCTGTTGGGTGGCAGCACAGCCCGCATCTGCGGCCCTTGTCAGGGAGGTGGGTGACCCGCGGTGACTCACCAGCAGCTTCGCCATACAGTTCTGTTCCCCAACGTAGCAGAAGTCCCCAGAGACATTGGTCTCAAACCAGATGTGCTCCCCATAGACCGCAGTCTCCTGAAAGGCACAAGACAACGTGTTTCTCCGAGAGCACCCCCAGATGGGCATCTAAGCCCCTAAAATGCTTTGTGTGAGGGACAAGATACTGGGACAAGCAAGGCTGGAGGGTTGGAGCTAGGTGTAGGCTGGGAGACAAGATGCACAGAACAACCAGGGCCAACATCTGGACAGAGGAAACCTCACAAAGCTGCTGCCATGGCCCACCCGTTGGAAATGAGAGGGCCCCAGGAAACCAGCTCCAAGACCCACGGCCCAGTTGCAGTGTCCTGCACAGGGGGGCTGCTTCCATCACCCCCTGAGAGGAGGCATCAGGGCAAATTCAACGCAGGGGATGCTCCTGAAACAGCTTCTGTTCTATGACCCGAAGATGCGGCTTAAAACCTGCCAGGCTTTGCCTGAGAAGGAGCAGGGGCTTGCTCCTGCTGTTTGGTCCTGGCCACCAGAAGACCTCAGCTGCCAGGAGCAGAAGAGCTGGCAGTGGAGTAGCTACGCCATCCTCCCAGGAACCACCTGTGCCTGCAGAGCCTCTCCTCGCAGCATCAAGGGGTGCTGCCAGCAGCACAGATGCTGGCACCAGCTGGTGGCAACGGCGGAGGCCATAAATGTGTCAAAGCTGAAGTCACCTGGGAAGCCTCAGCCTGGGAAGAGCCTGCTGCTTCTTGGCCCGGAGCCCATCCCATGCAACGCCCAGCAAAACGCGCTACAACTTACGCTCCAGTCCACAGTGCTGCGTATCTGCCTCTCCGAGTCACTCCTCAGGGCTAGCGCAGGGTTTGGCTGGGCTACCATGTGCTGGAGGCTGGACTTGGCAATAGCTTTCCTGGAAGACAAGGGAGGGCTGGCTATTAGATCAGGGGAGGAGGAATGCAAAACACAGCCTGCTTCTGGGGTGAGGCTAGAGCAGAAAAGCATCCTCAGGACCAAGCCTCTGGAAATGAGGTGAATCCCCAGCACCACCGGTCGAGGAATACCTGCTCCTGCGAGGCAGCCCTGTGGGACGAAGAGGTGCTGGCCACGTTGCCGATGGCTCGGCTAAAGACACCCTGCACCCGGCAAAAGGCACAGCCTGGGCCTGCTGTGTCAAAGCCCTTGGGGATGACAGGTCCATTGCGAAATAGCCTGGGTCGCTCCACCGAGCTGCGGTGGTGGGGCTGCCTTTGCAGGGACAGCCCAGAGCCCTTGCCCCACAGAGGTTCCCCGCAGCTCTCCCGTACCAAGGCACCTCAGAGCCTGGGACATTTTCGGGGACCAGCAAAACCGGCCGGAAAAAAAAGCAGCTGTTTGTTTGGGGCTGGCAAGCTTCTCGCAGATGTGCTAGGGTGGAGGGAAGGAGTGGCAGAGCCAACCAGCTGGAGAAAGTGTGTATCTCCAGCCCACAACCAGGCCTGCTACCTCCCTCCAGCCCCGGGCTGGCAGAAGGGGATGCCTGCAAGCCC